ATGTAATTCAATTATTTGTGGAGAAGGGTCACGAACCATTACAAGTGGTAAGTTCAAAAGGGAAACATTTGGTACCCCCTAAGAGTACCAGTTCCTGCTAAGTAGGCACTGACATGGCATGAGATGGAAAATATAAGTGAAAAAGAGATGGATTATGAAGATGGAGTGCAAGATGTAGGTGATGAGGAAATGCATAATGGAGATGAAGATGGAGATGAAAGAGCAGCAGATGAAGATGTCAAAGATGAGGAAAGGGACAATAGACTGTGTAAGTGATGAACCTGGCTGGTTGAATGAGGGTTTAGAGGGGCAAGAAGATGATGATATTTTCTCTTCAAAGAAGACTGTAAAGAAAAAAAGAAAAAAAAAAAAGAGGTAACCTCCTTCATGTGATCAATGGGCAAATGAAGGGTGGTATTTTGATCCTGAGAATGAAGATTTACATAGTGTACATAACTCATCAGATGAGGAATGTGAAGATAAATATCCTAAGTTCATTTAGGAAGTAGACATGAAGAAGCCACAACTCAAACTTGGAATGAAGTTGGTCAACCCTCAAATTTTTTGAAAGGCAATGAAAGAGTGGAATATCCAACATAGTTATGACATAAAGTACATACGGAATGACAACTCTAGGATTACTGTAGTATGCAAGCATGGATGTGGATGGAGATTGCATGCTTCTCCCATGCAATGTGAGAGAACTTTTTAGATAAAATCATTCCAACCAAAGCATGCATATCATATAATAATCACTTGGTGAACTCAACTTACTTGGCACACAAGTATATGAACAAGTTAAAGGATGACCCTAACATCAAAGTTGGGCCTATGCAAAAGACAGGTTGGAAGGAGTTAATGGTTGATGTTAGTAGGCCTCAATTGTACAGGGCTAAAAAGAAAGCAAGAGAAGTTATTGAAGGGGATCAAAGGGTCCAATAAGCAAAGGTATATGATTATTGTGAAACGGTGAGGGTGCATAATCCTAACAGTGTAATGCAAGTAATGGTGGATAAGCCCAATGAAGACATGGTTAGGCCCAACTTAGAATTGCCCCTAGTTTTCCAGACGTTATATGTTGGGTTTGCAGTCCTTACAATAAGATTTGTTGGAGGATGAAGGCCCATTATAGGATTGGATGGGTGTCATTTGAAAGGAATCTATGGTGGACAATTATTAAGTGCACTTGGAACGGATGGGAACAACAACTATTTTCCAATTTCATAGGCAGCTGTTGAGGCAAAAAACAAAGATTCTTAGGTGTGGTTTTTAAGGCAACTCATGGATGATATTGGTAGTGCTGATGACATGGGATGGGTCTTCATTTTTGACAAATAAAAAGGGTTGGTACCTGCATTTCAGGAGGTAATGCCAAATGTGGAACATAGGTTCTATATGAGGCATATTTACTTAAATTTCATAGCAAAGGAGACCTATTGTGGAAGGCAGTTGCAGCTAGGACTGTGAGGGAATTTGAATTTCACATGAAGAAGTTGAGTCAACTTTTGTTGTGTTTTGAGTACTTTTCAACTTGTTAAATCATTGAGTGGGTTGTACTAATTTGTTTTTGAATTTGCAATTGGCTAGTAAACAATAGTTATCTTAGTTAACTATGTTTTGAGAAGCCCAATGGGTTGAATTATGGCTTGCATTAAAGTAATGCGAGTTGAATTATATAATTCTGAGTTGATATTTACACATTGTTTGTGTTGTTTCTCCATGGGTTTACTTGTTTAAATAGTATTATGTACCTTATTGTTTGTTTTGTCTACATTTATTAATACACATGTTTACTTGTTGAAATTGTTTTGTATGAAGCAAATGAAGCATGTTTCAAATAGAGGAACAATGGGAACCAACATGTTTCTATTTTTTAATGTTCTTGGAAGATGTAATCAACAATTTTATTGCATTTTTCTGGTTCATGAGATGCTTACATTTCATGACCCAAAACATTCTTTCATTACAATTGTTTCACAGACCATTGTACATCTTCATTTTCTACCTTCACTATATTTTTCATCTCTCAAACTCAATGGCCCAATAACAACCCATTTTTCTTCTCTCTAGCTAGCTTCACCCAGAACATTGTTATGATAAAGAAAAAAACCCATGTCCCAAATAGAGCTTTGCGAAACATTTTCTTCCTTCTACGACTTCTTGCTAGTTCCTTCTCCAACCTGTTCATCTTTGCAACCATCTTTGGCAACACCTGCCTCTCACGTTGGCATATCGGTGGATCAACCCATTCAAAGTAGCCACAAGTTGCATCAACCTATAAAAAATATATATATAAATTCACAAATTCCGTTTCAAACAAAATTCAATCTTTTTTCCCCCTCAAAAAAAAAAATTAAGTTTTGCGCAACCATAAAACCTTCTACTCATATTTCCAGATGTTATTGAAGTCTTTACAAGGGACCTCTCTCCATAATAACATAGTCTTGGACCATTTGTCCTTGACTGTCCACTTTTGGAAGAAAATGAAGAAGCCGTTCAACAATAATCTTCAAAATCTTCAACTTTGAAAATATCTGGGTAATCTGGGCAGCTTTCGGAAAATCTGGGCAAATTTTAGTTTAGGGTTCTATGTTGTTTGGGTCTTGATTTGTGTATATATATGGCAATAAGGGTGTTTTGGTCATTAGCCATATGTTTTTGGGCGGAAAAAATTGCTCCACTCACCATTTTTAGTCGTGCAACACACACATTGTTTAAACAAATAGTTCCGTCTAATATTACACTTTGGCATGAAGTATAGGGAATTTAAGTATTACAAATGAAACTATAGGGGGGCTCTGTATTTTTTAAGCAAACCACAGGGAGTTAAATTATAATTTAACGTAAAGCTTAATATTTTAGTAATAGTGGTATGTATTGAAATCTTCAAAATATATATATACATATATTTGTGTACTTGTCTTTAATAAATTAAAATTTTATTATAAGTAAACTTTAATTAAATCTTTTTAAAATATTAACAAAATAAATTATAACGAAAGAATTACCGTAGCTACACTACTCGAACCTTGGATTTTTTAGTGTCCAAGAGACCATCACCACTTACGCTAACTGTCCAGTCCCGACAAGACTTGCGTTTATGAAGCCTTGGTTTGGTTTTTTTCTTCAGCAATGATTAAGGGCCACAATTTTTGTGGTTCAAATGGCTCGAAATTGTTAAAATGATGTCGTTTTGAGTACAAAACAACTTCAAAATTGTCAAAACGACGTCGTTTTGACAATTTTGAGCCATTTGAGTCACAAAAATTGTGGCTCTCAAACATTTTCCTTTTTTCTTAGGCCAAAAAATTACAAAATGACAAAAAAAAAAAAAAAGTTATAAAATCTTGCAAAGATAAAAAAGTTACAAAATTATCAAACTAATCTATATATAAACAAAAAGTCAAAAAAGCATCATTTCTAAGTAGAGAGTAATTTTGTCATTTTACTACCAAAAAGTCAAAAAAGCCAAACAAAAAAACCAAATAAACAAAAAAATCCTAAGCTAAAAAAGCCTCCGTTTGGGAAGTAAAATTTGGGCTAAAATAGTCATATAAGACAAAATAGACTATTTTAGCCTAATAAGACAAAACATCACATCCAACACATAATCATTGCATTCTTTCTCTCACAAAAAAAGTCAAAAAAGCCAAAACCCTTTCCAAACTAGGCTTTTTAATCCCAGGCTAAAATAGTTTAAAAAAATCAAAAAGCCAACCCACTTGCCAAACAGAAACAAAGTAAAAAAAAATCATAAAATCAACTAAAAAAGTCATTACTAAACGATCCCTAATTTAGGCTTGGTTTGGGAAGTGGGTTGGCTTTTTGACTTTTTGGCTTTTTTGGCTATTTTAGCCTGGGCTAAAAAACTTGGTTTGGGAAGGACTTTTTGACTTTTTTGACTTTTTTTGTGAGAGAATAGTGTAATGATTATGGGTTGAATGTGATGTTTTGTTTTTTGTAGCTAAAATAATCTATTTTATCTTATGTGACTAAAATAGCCAAAAAAGCCCCAACCCAACTTGTAAATACATATACAAGCTCCAAGGCAAGAATATTTAGATCTAAGTTTTTATGTAATTCTCATAAATTTGATACTCCTTTCGTCTATTAAAACAAATATAATTCTTGTGTATTCCAGTGCCCCACCAACTTTATATAGATTTTCATGTCACTAATAAATTTGTATGTTTACTTTCTTATGAATATAAATGAACTTCTCTTTCTTTACAAAAATAAATAAATAATCTCAAGAAGACAATCATATAAATACAGATATAGATTACTATCCAGTTTGACTAAGAATTTATAATTTAATAAGTGTAGTTGTGATTCTTTCCAAGCATTCAATAAGTATATCATCCATCAAAGAACTATCCAATGTCACTATGTTACAAGCAATAATAATAATTAATACGTTTTCAAGAAAATGACTATGCGTTAGGTATTTTTAACCTTAAGAAGTTGGAGACCAATTCAACACGTTTAAAACATTGGAGATTAAAATGACCCTTGCATACACAATTTGGTGACCATTTATATATTTAAACTTAAATTTAAACTATTCTATTAGCGCCCAAATCCTTTCATTTCATAAATATAAACACAAGCTAAAGGCTAACGGAAGCTTGGTGGTGTGTTCCCTCCATAGTCTCATGTTCGAAATCTCCAAGTATGCGGTGCAATTGATCTCCTAAATTAGTTGGTCTATTAGGCCGGATACGCAATTATAAAAAATAAAAATAAAAAAACCAAAGGTTGACAATATCTACTTGTGTTTAAGTTCGATCACATTTCCTTTTTCACCACAAACAAACAAACAAAACAACAAAAAAAATTAAGAAAAAAGTTAGATCACTCCCACAATACTCTGCTACAAGTATAATACCTTGGGGGTTGACAACATTTGGTTACGTACACTACAGATCAATCAATCCACATAATGGAGTAACAACAAAGATGATCTTCCAAAATGAAAACCATATTTTAGGATCATAATCTTCGTCTCTCAATCCTTCAATCCATTTCAGAACTTCATTAATGATAACGAAGGATTGTACAATTATTGGAAAAAGAAGCAATCAATAATTATGTGCATTATTAAGATATTACAATTCCTCTACTGAAATAACCAGTGGGACTTGTACAAATAGCTTAACTGTGATGACGAAGCCCCCATCTTGAAAAAAATTGTCTACTACATGACAGTACTGAGAATGAGATACAGTTACAGTATCAAAACTACGTTATATTATACAAATGAACAAAGCTCATCATCACCTTCCAGTTTGTGCCTCTTCAAAATGGGTCTTGCACATCAAAGAGTGTGATAATCGCGTTCAGACCTTAAAAGAGATGACGATGCCCTCTCCATATTCCTTCCTGAAGCATGGGGTGAAGAAATTGATGATGCCTTCTCCAAATTCTTTCCTGAAACAAAGGACGAAATTCGTTGTGTTTGGAGTGACGAAGATGAAGATGGAGCTGGGGCTGAAGCTGCTAAGTTGGAGAAAGCGCTGACGGTACTGCTTACATTGACACTCGTTCCACCAACCGACGACGTTTCCACCACAGCCTTGGGGGCTGGTGGCTTTTCAATCTCGGTTATACCTTCTAGCATCTGCACCACTTTTCCCATCATTGGTCTCTGAGATGGTTGCTCTTGGATGCACCAAAAGCTTACCTGAATTGCCCTAATCACTTGTTCCATATCCATCTCATGATCAACAAGCCTTTTGTCAACAACTCCCTTCACATTTCCTTTCTCAAACTCATCGTAAGCCCATATAGAGAACTTTTTCCCATTTGTTTCCGGAGAGACTTCAAAATTCCTTCTCCCACTCACTACCTCCAACAAAACCATACCATAGCTGTAAATATCAGATTTTGATGTAATTGGAAGGTTTGCAATCCATTCTGGTGCCAAATATCCTCTGGTCCCCCTAACACTCGTCAATGTTCGGTATCTATGGTCCTTGGGATTTATGAGTTTTGCAAGGCCAAAATCCGATACTTTGGCGTTGTAATTCTCATCCAAGAGAATGTTTTCTGGCTTTATGTCGCAGTGCACAATGCAGTCTCGACACTCCTCGTGAAGGTACGTGATACCCCTGGCAGTCCCTAGAGCTATTTTAAACCTATACTCCCAATTCAAGAATTTCTCAGACTGTTGTTCTGCTGTAAAGAGGAAATTATCGAGGGATCCATTTTTCATGAACTCATATACCAGAAGCCTGTGACGACCTTCAGAACAGAACCCTATCAATCTCACAAGATTTAAATGGTGGGTACTACTTATAGTTGCAACCTCCATTCTAAACTGTTTCTCACCCTGCTCAATTCCCTCAAGCTGCTTCACTGCAACAATAGTTTTATTAGCAAGAACGCCTCTGTAAACAGCCCCAAATCCTCCAGTTCCAAGCTTCTCCTTGAAACCCTTCGTGGCACGTTGTAGTTCTTTATATGAGAACTGGACTGGAGCGCCAGAAGCGTACTCAAGAAGAGCATATTGAGCAGACAAACTCCCAAATTTGGGGCTGTTTCTACAGCACCACCACCACAAACCCCCCTCCAATGTGACCAAACCCAAAATGGTGACTATAACTACAACAGCAACAATCCAAGCGTGCAGCTTCCAACCATTGCCCTTTCCATTTCCCAGCGAAGATGCAGAAGGGTTTGGCACTATGGGGCCACAAACTTTCAAATACGAAATGCTTGGAAGAGCAGGCGATTGATACCCACTTATGAATTCAGGGACTTTCAAGTAACACAACCCTGTCCCATCTGACAATGAGGTAGAGGCAATGCAAGAGCCACTCACAAGACAATTCAACCTACAAGCCGATATACCAACAAAAAAAACTTGGGAAACCAACTCAGGAGGGTATGTCAAGAACGTTGCATGATCCAACTCCAACATAGTTGCACTACCAGGACAATTTTGAATCTCCACCTTCCTCTTACACCCTTTCCTACTATCATTCGGATCAATCGGTACAAAATTCTCCGAAGGACATATACAAATTGGACTCGTATCGTTGTAACTACAGATACCCAAATCCCCACAATACCCAAAAACTTGACACTGATCACTAACAGCAGCCCATCTCTCAGTTGGATTTGGTCCACTACCCTTAGGAGAGCTATAAATCCTCAAATTCCCATCACTGTCTAACTTCAAGAACCTAAGTATATCAGTCCCTTCAGCATAATCACTGCCATAAGCCATGATCACAGGGGCAGAAGATGATGGATCTATGACTGATAACAACCCAATTGTTTGAAGTCGTAAAATGGGTGATGTAAAATTTATGTTAGTCGACGAATTCACACCCGAATTCCAATACTCAATCGAGTCATTCCATCGAAGGGTCAAATTTCCAGATCTTAAAAGTCTAAAAGAGTACAACCCAGATTCCAATTTTTGGCTACTAGTGAAATTTTGATTAGGCAAGAGAGTATCAGTAGGGTTATCAAAGGTGGACCAGACCACACCGGTGGAATTTCGGAGGACGAAGTTACCTGAGTCGTCGAGGGCGGCGGAGGAGACGCCGCGGCCGGTGGTGTTGGACTGCCAGACGACGGCGCCGGAGGAATTGGCGAGGCGGAGGTTGCCGTTGCTGAGGAACTGGAAGGAGGCTGAGGAATCGGCGGCGCCGGAATCACCGCCGGCTTTCCAGACTGGGATGCCGTTGTAGGTGACGGCGGCGAAGTATGCGGAGCCATCGGCGATGAAACCTACAGAGAAGGTGTTGTTTGGGGATTGCCATGACTGGTTTCGATTGGAAGCTGAGAGGGTTGAACCAGGTGAAATGTCTAGTGAGCGAACAATGAAAAAGAGATAGAACAAGAAGACGATTGACAACAATGGCTTCATTTTCTCCACTCTCTCTCTCTCCTCTGCACTCTTGATCTCTCACCTCTCTGATATGTATGGTTGTGTAGCGAGAGGAGGAGGATGAGAGAGAGAGAGAGACAGACCAAGTCATTATTGACTTTGGAGCACAGAGAGTGGAGGTCAGTGATGTGTTGGTCAGTCACGGGGCGGTGATGTTAGTCTTGAAAAATAATTTGTTCAAAGTTTGAGACTAGTAAACGAAAGATTAATAAATTTTATTTTATTATTTGTTATTAGCCTCTTCCTTGTTTTGACAACGATTGTGAACATGTTAAAATTTGGATGAGGATCTTACCATCCACGTCTTTGTATTTATTTATTTATTTATTTGAACAAAATAATATGGGAGAATATTAAAACAATGAAGAATAAGAAAAATAATTATAAAGTAATAAATGATTCATGCATTGAATTATGTAAGTAAAACTTATACTCCTGTTACTTTGCAATTATATTTTTTGTTCATAAATTTTTTAGAAATTTTCTCAAATGAAAAACAAGATGCTTTAATTCTAATAGTTGTTTTAACTCTATTTGCACCTTATAGTACGTATTATTTTTAACTTTTTTAATTATAGTTTTATCCCTTACTAAAATTATCATCAAAGAATCCAAATTGGTCTAACCTTACAGTCTCTCACCCTAACCTTTATCATCGTCATTGTCTCACTAATCTTACTCCCCTTGTACCCCTCACGTCATCCTCTTTCATTATTTCTTGCCATCACTTCCTCTATCAATCCTAATTGCTATTGGCCGCCACCATTAACACTTATCCACCCTCGACCCACTATACTCACCAATAGGGGTGTGCATAATACCGCCGAAACCGTCAAAACCGCACCGAACCGCATCGCCAAGGCAAATTCGTTATTATTTGTCAATCAAACCGCCGGTTTTTGGTAAGAAAAACGGCAAATTCTAGTGACACTTTTATCAATCTGCCGGTTTCTATTTTTCTTCCAAACCGCACCGCTATTAAATCATATTTTATAAGTTTCTAAAAATTCTTTTTTACTTAAGTTTGCTTGTTGTTCTATACCTTAGAATGTAGTATTACATTACTACTGGAGGGGAATGCAAGATGTCAGTAATCCAAAATAAAGTTGGATTCCAATTTACTTTTCAATCTTTTTTTTTTTTTTTTCTGGCCATGTTGCAAACTTGCATTAGCTCACTTTTCAATTTAAATACTTTTCAACAGTAAACATTTTCAATATATTGTAAATCCTGAATGATATTAATTTTATATATTGTATTTGATCATTGTAGCTTCCACAGATGCTTGTAATGAACTTATGGCATAGTCGTTGATATTATCATGTTGTTGCTACACTTGCTGCATCAGAAGAAAGCTTCGCAAGATGCTTAACATCACAGTATCTCTCGTCTTTTTTTTACTCATTGATTTAAGTTTTGTAATTTGAATTATATTTTTTATAAACCGCCAATCCGCCCGAACCGCCAAGGCAAATCCACCATTATTTGCCAACCGAACCGCCGGTTTTTGATAAGGAAAATGGCAAATTCTAGTAACACTTTTATCAATCCGCCACCCGGGTCTTATGCTTGTGTTCTACATTGATTTCTTGACACAATGTGATATATTATGTTTAGTATGTGTCAGATTAATTTTTTTTTATAAACTTTGTCATTTGAACAAAATTCCATGACCGGTATGCCTACAACTTAGTTCAGTAACTTGTCTTTTTTGTTTTGTTTTTGGTTTTTTTTGTTCTAACGATTTTAGCGCTACCGATTTGTTGAGGCATACCAAGTTGATCGTAAACTTCAGAGTGTGGAGCAAGACTTTATATCAAAGAATTCTGTTAGTGAAATAGTCATATCTAGAATGAGATCAGCAAGTCACTGGAGAGCAGGATTGGTTGTAAGTATTTTAAATTGCTGATGCTTTTCTTTTTGAAAATTCATTTTATGAAATTCATATTTTGCCTTAGCTTCAAATGGCTCATGAAGAGCAGCATGCTACTCAACCTTGATATCTGTCGGAAATAGAAACAATCTACACTCTGTAGTCTGTTTGGAGACTGCATGATTGATTTGTATTCTAAGTTCGACTCTCCATGTCAACTTTCACCCTTCCACTCATATTTCAACTTAGCACCCCCCCCCAAAAAAAATTTATGAGTTGGTTGAGTGAAATCACCTCGTGCAGGATTCAAAGGTCATAAACAAGATTTGCATGTTTGATGAACTTTAACTTTGTATGCTTTCTCTTTATGGGTAAGGTCTTTGTATCTAAATATGTGAAAATTAAAGTATGAAGTGGCCCATTTAAGCTAAAAATCAACTAGGTATATCCCCATGTAACAAACTAAATACATCTTTTGCTAGGTTCTCTTCTCTCCAATACACAATGTATTGAGGTGGGTGGTAACTGTCTGGCAATGGAGGGTGCTTTTATGAAACAGGCTTTTCTAATAGAGTTTTGTATTTGTTGGTATCTTCTTTTTTTTTTTGGTTGGAAGGCTATTCTATGCAATGTGTTTCTTGCAGCCCCATTACTCCTCCAACTGTACGCCAACAAAATCATTACCTTCTGATGAACTGACTCAAAAAGTGCAGAGACGAACTATTTAAGAGAGAAGAAAATATACTCTGGGCATGCTAGGTTGAAAAGTAGTGAGAGGTAAGGACTTTTTTGACTGGTAAAAAGGTTATGAGAATCAAGACGTTTGGGTTACAGTGATTGAAGTAGAAACCACTAACACCAAAATACAGCTACTGTCGTGGCCTAGCCTAAGAAACAAGAATCTTCAACCAGAAATCACAAGCTTTCGTTTTCTATTATGGATTGCCCACCCAACCCAACCCAACCCCACCCTTTTTTTAATTATTAAAAAATGCCTTCTTTGTTGCCATAGTTGGTGCTTTGACATCAACCTAAAATATAAGGTCCCCAATTCATCTAATCTAGTAGCACATCAGGGAGACGAGAGTCATTTCAACTAAAATTTGTTTTGATTGACAAGGAAATTTCTATTGCACATCATAAAATATATTTGTGTAGACACTTGAAATTTCTCTGCACGTAAACTCTTCGTGATCAAGTTAAAATTCTTAACAAATGTTATCGTATGACCTAAAAACACCAAAGAACAAGGAGCTCGTTGGTGGGTTATACCGGGAAACTCGTCTGATACTAAGTTAGATTAATGATCAAATCTCAAGGAAAACTTAGAGTGTTTAGAATTACATTACCATGATTAGTTTGAACTCTTGAGAATTTTGTATCTTCCAAACATAATAGTCTTAGTAGTCTTAGGTCTCGTTTGACAAGTGATTTTTTAGTTAAAAAGTCAAAAAGTTGTTAAAAAGTCAAAAAGCCAACACCATTACCAAAAAGTCAAAGATTCAATTTTCTCTTTACTTTTTGCATATCTTTTCATAAAAATTCAAAAAACATCATCCCAAATATACTAATTTTTTACAATTTTTGGACAGGGTTCTACCTAATTCTCACATCCATTTACATTTTGGACATTTTTTTTATTAAAAAGTCAAAAAACTTAAAAAAGGTCAAAAACTCACTCCATTTACAAATTTTGGACAGGTTCTACTAATTCTCCAAGATTGGAGATGGATGACGATACAATCTGTAAAGAATTTGAGGGTAGTAACCTGAAGCACTGTTGGCAAGATCATTGACATGAAGAATGGCTGCACGGACTATTTTTTCTGCGGCGGATTGCCCAGCTGGATCTCAGGTGCTGAATGCCTTGGATAGCAATCTAATAAAATATTTTGTTTGTTATGGTATCCACTACAGAGCTAGTGTTTTTCTGAAGGCCTACCCTTGCGGCTTGTGCAAAGGGAATACATATATTTTTTGCTACGGCTCTATCCGCTGCCGTTGAACGTTGTTCTGGTCCGCATAATCAATTATATAGGCCCCTAAACAGGTTCTGGTTTAGTGAGCTGCCCCAAAATTCGCATATTACATTTATGGTCGTTATTGAAAGGGAAGAATGGAAAAATAATGTAGTTGTCCTCTTCTTTTTAGGATATTTGTTTATCCTTTTTGGACATATCTGTATGATTTGTGCGATAGGTTTTTTTTTTTTTTAAAGGAGATTTTATTGAGGGAAGAGAATGAAAAATAAATGCATGAAGTTGAGATTTTTGTAAATATGTCTTATTTACGTTTATTGTATTATAATATTGAATATTATAATATGATTGTAGGTTTTGTTTGTTTTGTTTTTTTTTTGGTTTTTTTTTTTGTGACGCGTACAGAAGTTGGTCGCTATTACATTGTAGGCATTTTTTAAACTCTTTGCGACTGGCAAAAATCCAAGTCGTTTATAAGTAGGTTAGACGGTCGCAAATAATTTGCGACTGTTATTTTGCGGTCCGCAAAAGTATTTGCCACCCACATTCGCGACCCTCATGGGCCGTCCAAAAGTCTTTTTGCGACTGTTTTTTTTATTATTTGCGACGGGCTTGTAGCGGTTCACGCAAAAAGTACTTTTTTTAGAGTGTATTTTAAGTCAAAAAAGTTACTAAAAAAAAATCATGTTCCCAAAACGAGGGCCTTAGGGAACTATAACTCTAATTGATAACCTTTATCTACAGGAGTAATATCTCTTAAGCATAACGTTCGTCCTTAAGCAACCTGACTGCCTCGTTTGGAACAGGCTAATTTAGTAACTTTTTTGGCTATTCGGCTAAAAGGTTAGGCTAAAAAAAACTTATTATGTTTGGATAACTTTTTTGGCTAATTACGAAAGATGTGCACAAAAAGTAGAGAGAAAAGAGAATCTTTGACTTTGGTATGAGTTTGTTGGCTTTTGACTAAAAGGGTAACTTTTTGACTTTTTGACTAAAAAGGTAAAATCTCCAAACGGCGGCCGTTAATAGGTCTTTGTTGACTTGTTGCTTCTGAGCTGGAACAATTTAGGACCAAGCAAAACTACTGCCTTGGTTGTTCTCCATGTTGCTCAGCTACGTAGCCATTCTTATTCATTTGGGCTCAAAGGCCTACTGAGTTGCGGACTCTAAGGATTGCATCTCAATGCTTAACCCAAGATAAGTACCTGACCTAATATAATTTTGGCCATGGTCAAAGCCTATCGCTTGAACTAGCTCGGCCCGAACACTTGTCTATTGCCCAAGTGTGTGAA